TATAAATACTTTTTTATATTAAACTGGCTTTACGGCTCTGGGTTCTAGCCCTTCTGAGCCTAAAAAAATATTAAAATTCAGTAGAACCAAGGACTAAAAGTAGAACACAAGACAAAGACAAGCAGATAATAAGGATAACCACATAACCATAGATAACATAGATTACAGATAATATTAAAAAATATATAATTTTTACTTATATTGTAGGTATTTATGTGCTATCAAAATATTTTACTCTAAAATATTAGTTTGCTCCTATTGAGTATTCAACAAACCAGAGAGACCATGCGCGTGAATTTCTAAACGAAAAGTTTGTCACTTTCAGGGGGAGGGGAAGAAAACACACTGCTGGATAATTCACTACAAATTAAAATTGAATTCCATTTAGGCATACCATCAAATTGTACACGTGTATCGACACGAGTACAATTTGATATACACGTAGATATACATTAGTTTCGCTGCATGCGTGAGCAAATTAGGGCGAGGACTATATCTATATTTTTATCGATAAACAAATTATCATAGTCCGCTTTTTTTTTATAGAAGAGGGGGCGAACGAGCATGCGGCTCACCTGATGTTAACTGACTACCGCCGCCCATGACCAACCGCAATACCAGGGGAATTGCAGGTGCGTTACCGGCTCTTTAGAAAGGAGTAAGCTCTTTTCCTGAAGGTCGCCGGTGGTAAGCTATTCCACAGAGAGGTTGTACGCGGAAGAAAACTCCTTGTGAAACGTACAGTGGTGGGCCGCCAAGCATCCAGATGGTGTGGATGGTATCTGGACGTTTGCCACGTAGTGCGTTCACGAAATTTGGCGGCTGGGATTAATACGAACAATTCCTCAGAGCACTCCCCATGGTATATACGAAAGAAAATGCAAAGAGATGCAACATCTCTTGGCAGTGCCAGTGAATCGAGCCGATCGGAAAGCAGTCGATCGTCGACGATTCGAGCCGCTCTGCGCTGGATGCGGTCAAGTGGAAGGAGCTGGTACTGGGGACCACGAAACTGCACGTCACTCGATATGTCGATGCTGAAGATACCGATACTGACTGAGGCAACAAGGGGAGTGCCTTGAAACTCGGGAGATACGACAAAGGGGTTCTTTTTAGCGGTTAACGCGTAAACTTGTGTCTTCTGGGGGTTAAACTGGACTAGATTTAGTCGCCCCCAATCCGAGACTCTGTTCGGCTGGTGTCATCTGCATGGCAATGAATGTTACGGATTTGGAACAAATCATCGATATGCTGAAGAAACAGCGATGGCGATAGGACGCAGCCTTGTGGAACACCAGCATTAAAAGGTTTGTAATCGGAGCTTGCACCGTCTACAACGACCTTGATTCTCCGATCTGCAAGAAAGCTGGTGATCCAATCGCACAATTTCTTGGGAAGCCCATAGGAAGGGAGCTTCGAGAGAAGCGCTTTGTGCCAAACCCGTTCGAAGGCCTTCGCAATATCCAAACTAACGGCCAATGCCTTCCCCTTGGACTCTACTACCTTCGCCCATCTATGAGTTAGGTAGACCGGAAGATAACCAGCTGATCGAACACGGCGAAAACCGTAGTGGCGGTCAGTAATCAGCTGGTGATCCTCAAGGTACCTCATGAGCTGACAGTTAACAATAGACTCCATTGTTTTGGAGAACAAAGAGGTGATGGCGACAGGCCGGTAGTTGGACGGATCTGAGCGGTCGCCATTTTTAGGGATCGGGTGGACGACAGCCGTCTTCCATGATTTTGGGACTACGCCTAGGGAGTAGGGGTACCGGAAAAGTGCGTTAAAACCGGTGCCAACTCTGGTGCACATGTCCTCAGCACAATTGGGGGAATTCCGTCAGGCCCACTCGACTTGTGGATGTCCAGGGAGAGGAGTGCTTTGCAAACTGAGCGCTGTGTAAACTGCACTTCCGGCATGGAGCACTCACACCGCGGGATGGTCGGCGGAGTACTCCCCCCGTCATCGAGAGTCGAGTTGGACGCAAAGAAAAAGCCTAGCCTAGTGAGTCGTCCTCCCTGTGCAGAGATGGAAGAGATGGCTGACAGAAATTCCCCTGGACAGCCTTGGCGAGAGACCAGAATGCACGGGTTCCAGAAGGAAGGCGAACTAGTTTCTCGCCAATGGAGAAGATAACCATTTTTTGTTTTATATGCCAAAAAAATCTACAAAAAATTACGAGAATAACCGTGTTTTTAATTTTTTTCTATCTTCAAAACTGACCGAGATATAAAGGCGCAAAGTTAACTTTTCGGTCTAAGCCGCGGGCCGAGAGCGACATCGTTGATGACGTCACGATTTGCATCTTCGTGCGAGAGAACCGACGTGCACTTAGAAAATCAAAACATTTACTCGAATGTGCCCGTCGCGCGCAGATTTACTTGCTATATATTTTTAACAAGAAACATTATAGAACATGACACCATCTATTAAATATTGTGCTGTCTCAATGTAAAAATACGGCCACAAAAACACCTGAAAAGTTGTTTTTAATGTGCATAGAAACCCTACCATCAGAAATAAATGGACAAATGCTATGAGAAGAGCACATCCTTTAGGACCAAACACGGTAGCATATTGTTGTAAGGATCATTTCAATCTTCACATGATAGCTCTTGGTTATTGGTAGTAAATGCTTTCTATTAGGCATGTTGGTACCTACTCGAGTCGCAGTGTTTAAGTAACTAACGATTCATTGAACCTTTCCACGCTTTATGATCATTATAATTTCAAGAAGAAACAATACCTAATACCTACATATTTAACTAAAACTACTTCAGTGTAAATAAACATCCAAACTTGGGTAAAGTACTTACCTATGTAATGTAGATAAGTCAATGACCTGTCGTGAGTTCGTAAGTTTAGATACCTACCTATGTTTGCAGCAAATTTTAAAATGATTATAATGCATATTAAGGTTAAGATTTGGAATATGTTAACAAACGTTTTTATATTTTTACGATATTTCGAGCAAAAACTAAACACATCTCAGAGCTGTTCAATCTGCATACTTTGCGGGCCGCAAATAATGAAAGAAGTATGATTATGAAGTGGGGCACTTAAATTTTTTTTTCGTGTAGTCCTATTTTTATGTATTACATAGTTGGTACATATTTTAAATATTGATGGAATACAAATTACGAGGTTCCTTATTTTTTTATAGACTTTAAATAAGTTTGTATTTTGTTCTAGGTCGAAAACGATATGGAAAACTACGTGAAGTACAAACTAGTTGGTGGTCCCCTCAAACTTAAAAAAGATGTTTTGCCTCACTAGTTTGCTAAAAACCACAAAGATTTTTACTATCAAAACTAAATGCCAAATCTAGGTCAGAAACAGTTGCACATGCGATTGCCACTACTTCACAAGAAATTGAGCATAGATATATGTTCTCGATCCTGTTACTACTCTAGATAATAATATTGACATTGATCCCCTGCCTGAAGAATATATAACTACGCTTTTAATCATAATAATAATGCGACTCTTTTTCTATTAATATTGAAAACATCTGATTTTTAGATAAAATCATATTTTTATACACCGAAGGTATATTTGTAGTAAATTTCTTTATATACAACAGGAATTTTTTTTTAACCATAAAAACCACAAAAAGGTCATGGTACACTTATGAAGAATAAGAAAACAAAACTAGTTAGAGGCAGATAGTAAGTAGGTAGGTAAGGAATGTTTACGTATTTTTGTTATACTTATTCTTATCATTAGCAAATGAAACCCAGAAGTATTAATGTAATAATGGGTACCTAGGTTATAAAATATTATATTATTCTTATGCGTATTTCAGCCGCGACAAAATCTTTGTTTCTTAGAAAATATTCCGCCACCTCATGTCACGGACTATTGGAAGATTGTCAGATTGACCTTTTGAAACCCTTCTTCCATCATTAAATACTTAAAAACACCAGAGCGCACGAGGGCAAATAACTCACCCGCGAAATATTACTACAAACATTGATTTATATATTAAACTCAATGACTACAAACGTATGATCGGCGCGCTGGAACGGTATGGCGGCGCGGCCGCATGGAATCTATGACGTCACGCGCTACTCGCGCGCACGGGCGAGATTTTAAAAATGTACGTAAACTTTCCTATAACTTCGGTAATAGTGCACCGATCGATGTGAAATAAAAACTAGAATTATGTGCTTGGTCTACACATTTTACCTACGTACTTAAAAGTTTAATATTGTAACCTTGTTATCTTCTCCATTCTGCCTATGTGCTCTGACTTTGCAATGAGTCTTTTGAAGGACCTAGAGGCGGAATTATACTTCTTTTTTAGAGCGCTGGTGTTTACATTCCGGGTCGCTGATGCTTCAGCCCAGGTTTGGTAGCACTCCTGCTTATAACATGATGCTATTTTACAGAGGAAGGAATAATATAATAACGCATAAGTTCTGCGTTGGTAAAAGTGGTTTTTAATGTTCTTTTAATCATTACAGCCCTACAGAAGTCCAAAGCTGAACATAGGCCACCCCCAAGGAATGCCACAAAGCTTGATCTTGAGCCACCTGCGTCCATCGACTTCCTTCATGTCTTACCAGGTCATTACTTCATCTAATGGGGGGTCGACCTATACTTACCCCACCGGTACGGGACTGCCACTAGAGAATTTTTTCCCATCGGCTGTCGGCTCTTCAAGCTATATGGCCGGCTCATTGCCACTTTAGCTTACTAATCCGTTGGGTTATGTCGGCCACTCTAGTTCTATTGCGGATATCTTTATTTCTAAGCTTATCATGCAGAAAATTCCAAGCGTAGTCGTTTCGACTTTGAGCTTCCTCATACGATCAGCAGTGAAGGGTTTTTTTTATACCTTAGGATAATAATAGATAAATGGTGAAAAATGATGGTCTCCCACGAACGAAATGAGGAGTATATTGGAAGAGGCGATTTTGGAAACGCGCAGCATGCCTCTCGAAAATCGCATACCCCTAAGCAAGCGAAATCGGGCTGTCGTGAGGGCTCTTAACCCAATGCTGGTAACCTATTTGGAAGCCAGCCGGGACCTTTGCGAGACGGACTCAGTTCTTTTTGGCGCCGCAGTGGCAGCTTGCCGTATTATTGGCGCCAAACTTCCCATGGCTGGACGCGCTACTAAACAAAGTAGCGCCATCCCAGCCTGGAGAAAAAGAATTGAGGACCGTATCGCAAAGGCAAGGGCCCTTATCGGCAGACTGATAAGTTTCAGGTCGGGTAATAATAGACCGAGGGTTGTGCGCACCGTTTGAATGGCGTTTGCTGGGACAAATATCAGTTTGTCCCAGCCGGATATGACGCAGAAACTAACGGAGCGCATAGACGAACTGAAGTAAAAGATTGCTGCTTGGGGGAAGCGGATTCGCCGATTTACCGAGAGTTCAAGGCGGTTCAACCAGAATCGTCTCTTCAGGATGTTAAGAAGAGGCTCTACAAATCATTGGAGCGACCAGAGGTATGTGGAGCGGGCCCAGGATCGGATCAGGCTAACACTGTCGCATTTTGGCGTGGCCTGTAGTCAGAGCCCGTAAACCATAGCGAGGGCCCTTGGACGGAAGTTGTGGCGAGTCAGTGTGCGAGTATTACGCCCATGGACCCCGTCATCATAACGCTGGATGATGTAGCTGAGGCGGTCCGTAGAGCCCCGAACTGGAAAAGTCCGGGACTCGACGGGCTGCATCACTACTGGCTGAAGGGGTTCATGGTGTGTCACGCTGTGCTCGCCCGTCAGTTTCAAGAAGGCTCTCAACCAGAAGTCGCTCCCTAGCCTCTTCACTACTGGGATCACTCATTTGGTTCATACAGACCAGGTTACCACAGACCCGAGCAAATACCGCCCCATTACGTGTCTACCCATCATATATAAGACACTGACATCCATTTTGAGCGCGAGAATCACTCGTCACCTGGAGCTAAATCAGGTGATGTCACGCGCTCAAAATGGATGTCGGGGCGGTGGTCGTGGAACCAAGGAACCACTCCTCATTGACGCAGTCATTGGCAAAGTGGTGAAACGCAACCGTCGGAACTTCTCCGCCGCCTGGATAGACTACAGAAAGGCATTCGACTCGGTGCCCCATACATGGCTAAAGAGAGTCCTCGACTTGTACAAGATAGACTGTACAGTGAGAGACTTCTTCGAGCAGTGTATGGGGCAGTGAAGTACGATCCTTTGTCATCTGGGTGAGCGGATGATGGCTGCGGAGAACCACATAAGGATAAGAAGGGGTATCTTCCAGGGCGATTGTCTGAGTCCAATCTGGTTCTGCCTCTCCCTGAACCCTCTCAGTACCTTACTGGAGGGATCCGGGAGAGGATTTCAGCTACGGAAAGGAGGGACAAAAGTGACCCACCTTTTCTATATGGATGACCTTAAGTTATTCGCCTCCAGTCGCTCCCATCTTGTGGAATTGCTAAAAATCACTTGTGAGTTTAGCAGTTCCATTGGAATGGAGCTGGGGACGGATAAGTGTGCGGTCCTCCATGTTGAGAGGGGAAGGGTTGCTAACTCTGAGGGCATTGATTTAACTATGCCCGTCAACTTAAGGACCCTTTCCGAGGCTGAAACATACCGATACCTGGGTATGTCACAGAACATCGGTATCGATGAGGCTGGTGTGAAACAGTCAGTTTGCGACGTGTTTTATGCACGCTTGACCAAAGTGCTTAATAGCCTTTTGTCCGGTGTGAATAAGACACACGCATATAACGGTTGGGTCATGCCTGTCCTTATGTATACCTTTGGCATACTCAGGTGGACTCAGACTGAACTTAAAGCCCTGGATAGAAAAGTCCGCACTACCATGACGTCCCATAGGATGCATCATCCGAGATCGTCGGTAATGAGGCTGTACTTGCCGCGAAAGCATGGTGGGCGTGGCTTTCTGAGCGCGCTCACTATGCATAATCGTGAAGTGTGCAGCCTCCGTCATTACTTTCTGGCGAGATCGGATGATCCATTCTATAATGACGTAATTTCTAGTGATAAAGGGCTTACCCCTCTATCCTTGGCCAACGAGCAATGGCAGGACCCAGCAGTGCTTAGCATTTCCGACCGGGAGACCGTATGGAAGGAGAAGGTGCTCCACGGGAGGTACTACAGGGCTCTACATGAGCCCTTCGTAGATACAGTCGCCTCCCTCAACTGGCTACGTTTCGGTGACTTCTTCGGGGAAACCGAGGGTTTTGTCTGTGCAATACAGGATCAGGTTATTAAGACCGACAACTATCGGAGATACATTCCAAAGGATGGCACCGTCGACGTCTGTCGAGCTTGTCGCCATCCCGGGGAGTCACTTAGGCATGTTATCTCCGGTTGTTCGGTGCTTTTTAACTCTGAGTACTTGAGTCACAGGCACAACCTAGTAGCCAGTATTCTACACCAGGAGCTCGCTCTGAAATACGGTCTCGTGGACCGGAAAATGCCGTATTACAAGTACTTGCCGGAAGCCGTGCTCGAAAATGACCGCGCCAGGCTCTACTGGGACCGGGCCATCATCACAGACAGGACTATTCTTGCAAATAAGCCTGATATTGTGCTGATGGACCGGGCACAGTCAAGGAAAAGAAAGTCCGCCGGTTTCTTTCCCTTTCCCCCTAACCCTCGGCCGTTTGGTCTCCCCTGCCGAGGGCCTCCATCTGGTTGGGCTTTTATTTATTTATGTATTTTTATATTTATTTTATGTTATTGATATTTATGTATATTTATCTTTTCATTTTCATTTATAATTATATATTTATAGAACCCAACCAGATGAGAAAACTATATAGATACCCCACAATAATAATAATAATAATAAAGGCGTAGGGAAGTGACGACCCCATCGCCCGCTGACGTAACGGTTATGTGACAAAACCGGTACGTCAGCGCAGTCAGTCAGCACCTTGCCGAGAGGTGTTAGTGCCGTGCCTCGGCAAAAATTGAAGGTGCAAAGGCCCGCTTGTGCACATGGCCTCACCATGAAACGGCGCCGGGTCTGGGCGTCTTCCGTTAAATGACGCCCACCACTATGGATGATGGAATACGGAAGAACGCGCAAAGGGCCGCTGCCTGAAGGTCGCCAGGGCGCGTCTGGAGCTGGCGCTGGACGCGACAGCATGCGAACTGCCAGCCGAGCGCGAGGTGCTGCACGACCACCCAGCAGCCCCTCGCATCCATCATCCCCACCAGCTGGTTTGGTGTCGGCAGGGTCTTCGCGGGCCCAGCAATCGGCACCCGCCACTGGTGGAGTACGCCGCATGCGTTGGACAACCCAGATGAACAGCAACGCATTGCGGGCGTATTTTAGGGCGAAAGGGGGAGAAACTGGAGGTTTTGCGTATCGGGCAAGGATGCATCGACTTTTCGCTGAGCTGGAGCCATCTGTAACCGTCACCGAGCAAAACCTGGCAGACCGAGTTCGGTATATCTTGCGCTCAAATACATTTGATGTCACCGAACTCGAACGGCTACGACTTGATCCTTCATCGGGTGAAAATGCTGCGGCTGAGGATGCGGAGCCACAACTTGCTGAGCAAACGGCAAATGTGGATGCCGCCGTGAATACGCCAGTTGCGGTTGATTCAAACGATGACGGAACAGTCGCCCAGGAACTGGAACTAGAGCAAATGAGGAGTACATTGGAGGAGGCGATTGTGGAAACGCGCAGTACGCCTCTCGAAAATCGACCGCGACTTCCCCGCTTAGCCCTAAGCAAGCGGAATCGGGCTGTCGTGAGGGCTCTGAACCCAATGCTGGTTACCTACTTGGAAGCCTACTTTTTGGCGCCGCACTGGCAGTCTGCCGGATTATAGGCGCCAAACTTTCCACGGCTGGACGCGATACTGGACAAAGTAGTGCTATCCCAGCCTGGAGAATAAGAATTGAAGAACGTATCGCAAGGGCTAGGGCCCTCATCGGCAGACTGATATGCTTCAGGTCAGGCAATACCAGGCCAAGGATTGTGCGCACCGTCAGGATGGCGTTTGCTGGGACAAATGTTAGTTTGTCCCAGCCGGATATAACGCAAAAACTGACGGAGCGCATAGACGACCTGAAGCAAAGAATCGCTGCTTGGGGAAAGCGGATTCGGCGATATACCGAGAGGTTGACACGGTTTAACCAGAATAGTCTCTTCCAGAGTGATCAGAAGAGGCTCTACAAATTATTGGAGCGACCAATAGTAAGTGGAACGGGCCCAGCATCAAATCAGGCCGACACGGTCGCATTCTGGCGCAGTCTGTGGTCAGAGCCCGTAAACCACAACGAGGGCCCTTGGATGGAAGTTGTGGCGAGTCAGTGTGCGGGTATTACGCCCATGGATCCCGTCACCATAACGCCGGATGACGTAGCTGAGGCGGTCCGTAGGACCCCGAACTGGAAAAGTCCGGGTCTTGATGGGCTGCATCACTACTGGCTAAAGGGGTTCATGGTGTGTCACGCTGTGCTCGCCCGACAGTTTCAAGAGGCTCTCAACCAGAAGTCGCTCCCAAGCCTCTTCACTACTGGGATCACTCATTTGGTTCCTAAAGATCAGGGTGCCACAGACCCGAGCAAATACCGCTACATCACGTGTCTACCGACTATATACAAGACACTAACATCCATTTTGAGCGCGAGAATCGCTCATCACCTGGACTCAAATCAGGTGATGTCGCGCGCTCAAAATGGATGTCGGGGGCGGCGGTCGTGGAACCAAGGAACCACTCCTCATTGACGCGGTCATTGGCAAAGTGGTGAAACGCAAACGTCGGAACTTCTCCGCCGCTTGGATAGATTACAGAAAGGCATTTGACTCGGTGCCCCATACATGGCTAAAGAGGGTCCTCGAGCTGTACAAGATTGACTGTACAGTTCGAGACTTCCTCGAGCAGTGTATGGGGCAGTGAAGTACGATCCTCTGTCATCTGGGCGAGCGGATGACGGCTGCGGAAAGCCGTATAAGGATAAGAAGGGGTATATTCCAGGGCGATTGTCTGAGTCCAATCTGGTTCTGCCTCTCTTTGAACCCTCTCAGTACTTTACTGGAGGGCTCCGGGAGGGGATTTCAGCTTCGGAAGGGAGGTACAAAAGTGACCCACCTTTTCTATATGGATGACCTCAAATTATTCGCCTCCAGTCGCTCCCATCTTATGGAATTGCTAAACATCAATTGTGAATTTAGCAATTCTATTGGAATGGAGCTGGGGACGGATAAGTGTGCGGTCCTCCATGTTGAAAGGGGAAGGGTTGCTAACTCTGAGGGCATAGACTTATCTATGCCCGTCAACTTAAGGGCCCTTTCCGAGGCTGAAACATACCGATACCTGGGTATGTCACAGAACATCGGTATCGATGAGGCTGGTATGAAACAGTCAGTTTGCGACGTGTTTTATGCACGCTTGACCAAAGTGGTTAACAGCCTTTTGTCCGGTGTGAATGAGACACATGCATATAACGGTTGGGTCATGCCTGTACTCATGTATACTTTTGGCATACTCAGGTGGAGTCAGACTGAACTTAACGCCCTGGATAGAAAAGTCCGCACTACAATGACGTCC